CGCGGATCCAGTAAACAGGACACTTTGCGAAAAGACTGCTCTGTGCTAACTCTGGCTTGTAGTTCACGTGTCCGCGAACACCCCCCCCACTTCACGGTGTCTCCGTGTGTCTGCTCCGCTTGACAGGAAACCAGTCCGAGAGGCTGCAGTTGGACTGAAGGAGTTTGGTTTTGTGTCAGGATGAGTATTCATGTGGAAGGCAGAATCTCTTAATAAACCGAGCCGCGGGCTGTGGTCCGCTCCTCTCTCCCTCCCTCCTGTCGCGCCTGCTCCACGTCGACAGCAGACGGCCTGCCCTCACCAAAAGCGTTCTCCGACCCAGCGCACGCTGCTGGAGCTGCTTCGCACGAGCTCCACGGCGCGACACCAACCCTCCAACCCTGGACCCGTCGTACGCCAGCAACACCTCTTTGAGATGCCCCATCGTCCACCGGCGTCCTCATCAACGGTGCTGACTCCCGGCGGTGCTCGGCAACCAGCGAATCGCGGCCCCGCTGCGGCTCACCGCGCTTCCTGTACCAGAATCCGCTGTCCCCGAGCGTCGCGCTCTAATCGTCCCGGCGAGGAGCCTCACACTCGGCCACGCGCCGCAGAGGTCCGCCATAGATCAACGATGTTCGTATGCGGCTCTCGATCGCGTGACGTGCGCCGTCAAACCGACAAAGTGGTCGATCGGAGGGGGCGCGGAAGGTGCATGGTGCACTGCATGGCCCGAGGAGCCAGCGCAACAGTGACAGGAGGGGGGGTTTATCTTGTGGCTATCGTGGATGAGTTTCAGTTTCAACCTGTTGATTGAATTAGTTTATCGTTGATTGCACTGGTGCAGTTCTACTGCTCTGCCGATCTGATTACGGCTGTACACTGCTTGCATTGATTAGGTCCTACTCAGTTGACTTGATTGGACTGTACTTATTGTTACTGAGACGAACCCACGGGTCAGTCCAAGGATTTGTTTGCGTGTCCTCTAATTTGTTCAGATCTGCTCTGTACTTTTCTGATTCAATGTGTGGAATAAAAACGATACAACCGAAATTCATTTACTTTCTAACAACATTACTCCGCTGTGGAATTTAACAATCGTGCTTTGTCACAGTCGGTGTGAAATAACATAGATACGATACGATACCAGCGCGATCATAGATAGACTTCTATCGTCAACTCCGACCGAAGGGAATTGGGCGTCATCCATAGCAGGCCAGGTACCCTTTAACGATACGAATCAGCAATGACACACCATCACTGAGGTAGAATAATAAAAATATAAATAGATACGGATAAGGGTTGCAAAGAAGTTTGTAGTCAAGACCGTGTCTTCGCTAGACACTCGTCTCGCTTCTACGACCACTCGTCTCGCGCACGGTCTCCATCCCTTAGTTTAACTGTTGTGGCTTTGTGATCAGGACAGTACTGTTTGGTGTGTACAGCGAGCAGGTCACATTCTAAATAGCGAATAATACACTTTCAGCAAAAGATACCAATACGCGCGCGGGCATACGCGCACCCGCCACAGGAAGTTGTCCTCTCGCCACAGGACTGTGGTTAATAGTAACTGTAATCATGATCCGGTTTAATCTGCGTCCTTAATAACAGTATCTGCATTGCAGCCCATAATCAAAGTTACCTACATACTACCTGCTACTCGTATAATATATACATCATTATGACTAAGATTGACAAATTCACTGCAACTGAAACATTATGGGTTGAAACTTCTAAACCAGAAAAATTACATTAGATTACAGCTTTATTTGTCTCACAAAGTGGGCAAACTTGCAATCGCTAAACAGCGCAGGCAAAGTGAACTACTAGACCACAGCAGGAGAAAACAAGTATAAAAACAGTAGAAATAGCAAACGACACTATCGAACAGAGAAGAACAAAAACCAGAATAAGAGACACTGAACACGAAGAGAAAAACAGAAATAAAGACATTCAATGCAACAGAGAGAAAAACAGAATACAACGAACATTATGAACAAGAGAAAAACAGAATAAGACACTTATGAAAGAGACAAAACAGAATAAAACGACACTATGAACAAGAGAAAAAACAGAACTAACAGACTGATGAACAAGAGAAAACACAGACACTACCAGGAACCTCCACAACACGATACCCACAAATAAACGTATCACATTACTCTAATGGATCGTCCAGTGGAAAATTAATAGTGGACCGCTAATTGGAGCTTACACGGGTTTCTTTACCCAGGACCGAGGTTTAACAGCTCCTACAGTTGTTTACTCATACTAGTTTTTAATATTAAATTCTAATTTATTTACTCAGGTTATTTCCCCTTTGAACACCCTCCCCTTTCTTCTTTTTTTTTTTTTTTTTTTTTTTTTTTATAGAAACAAGACCTAGTTCCTCCACCTGACCGACAGGTGGCCACTCGACGCAACCGCCGCGTCATGACGCACAGAGCCAGAGCCCGATGACGTCGGACCGGAGCGCACTGTCGGTTACCTGAAGCTAAACCGCTAAGCTGACTGACACCGTCCTCCGCGGGCTCCAGTCCGGTCGGATCCTCTGCCGGACGTTCACGCACCCGACAGGCGGACCAACCTCTCTTCTGTCGGGTGCTCAGTCCTCCGGATCGTCTTTCTAGGAGAAAGCCGAGTCCCGCAGGCTGCTGCTGGAGCGACACCCGTCCCGCTGGCGGCGGTGATCGAAGCGAGCCAGAACTGCCAGTCCACGACGCGTGCAGGTGAGGTCCACCGGACCCGGCGGACCGGACCGGACCGGTTACTTGTTTCATTGTACAGTTTTGAGTATAATATGAAATATCCATAAAATATATGTCACTTAGTCAGAGTCAGTTTAATAAATATAAAATATAAAAGAGTTACTGTTACTGTGTTTGGATATGAAGGTCACATGATCATAAACAGACTTACATTTACAGCAAAGGGGTCAAATATATTCACATAAATTCCTTATAAATAACTGAAATGTTTGTGCACATTAATAACTAAACATTGTTATTTTCACACAAACAAACAAACAAACAAACAATAAACACAGCCAACAACACAGCTGCTAACCTCCAGACTAAAGCAGCTGAACATTTAAATATTACACGTTTTATTTACAGGCTACAGACAGATTCAACGTTAAGTCACACACATATAAACACACACACACATAAATAAATATATATATATATAAATATAACTGTATGGCTGCACAACCTGAAGCTAAAACCAGCAAACAGGAGGTCAGACAGAGAAGTTAGGTGAACTCACAGCTCACTCACAGCTAACTGCGGCTTGTTATTGTTAAATTATTGAAGAAATGAAAGAGTCAGAGACATTTTACTCACAGTTACTTCAACATGAGGAGATCTCAGCGTGTTTTCAAGCTTTCAGCCTGCCTGTACTGGCATCGGCGCATGCGCAGTCGTCAAAGCGGGACATGTCAAAGAGGTGTAAAACAGTGAGATGGATCACTCCGCTACAGACTCAGTTGGTTTCTGTCATGTAGGTTTAAATTTGAAGCATTTGCATTGATGAAAACATTCAAGTCACACAATTAAACCAATATTTTTCCTAAAAACAATAATCAGAAGTCCTACGGAGCCTCTAAAGTCCCCAAAAGGAAATATTTTTATCATTTTGTGGGTGCAGGGTAAATAACTTGTGCGCACAAGATAAACATATTTCCTTTTAGGGACTTTTGGTGCTCCGTAGAAGTCAGATTAAAATGCAGCAAATAATAATAATGATACATTTCCACCAGGAAAATAATCTGTGATACAGATTAGAAAGAAAAGTTAGAAATTGTAAAAGTAAAAATGTACACATATCATTTCTTTCTGGCAGAAATGGTCTTTCGTGCTCTTCTAACCAGTTAGTATAAAAATATTCTGTTTGGCTCTCAGTAATTTAGATTTCACAAGGTGCAGTTATGCTCTTTAAACTGAAATGAAGTTATAATTATAATTGATCACTCTTACTATTTTTCTCAAAGATTGATTTCAACATTGCAGAATGAATAAAAGCTTAAATCTATTGTTACAAAGTCAGAGGTTCACCGTTTAGTGTGTAATGTTTTCACACACACTGAAGCTAAATAGAGTTTCACAAATTAAAAAAAATAACAAAATAATTCAGAATTTTACATCATATATAGTTTATAGAGGAAGCAAATACCAGTAGAGGATTAAGGAGTGCTACTTCACAAAGGCAGGTATTAAATAACAGGTGCTGTTTGGATCCAAGGACCTATCATGAGACTAAACAAGAGCTGTGATTTTCTTTATGATCAATAAGTCATAACCACCATCGTATTTCAGGGCCCCTGAAGAAGAATGACGACTTATTGATCACAAAGCACAATAATAGGTTAACCTCTCTCCTCTTCTGGTCATAATTTATGGTTTAGTGGACAAAAGTTCTGCACACTAAGCTGCAGTAACACAAGTGATAAAATGACCCACTTGAATAAATCATCTACTCTTCCTGATAAAGCTGTAAAGATGTGTCGCCACCCAGTGGTCTGTTAGTACAGTTAGTACAGCTATTAGTACATGCAGAAACATAACACAAGTTTCCAATCAATCAATGACATAGTAATCAGTTTCTTCATAAGATTTATTTCTGTAGTCCAGAAACACTCTTTGTACAGGAGCTGGAATTATCAAATCACCTCATTTATCAAACTCTTTTTTAGTAAAGTAAAATAAATCCGACAACTCTTTCACTTACAGTACATTTCTCATTCTGAATCTCAATCTGAAAGTGTTTATATGAGGTTAAATAATCAGTTGGTTCACAGCAGGAGACTCAACACAAAAACAAACACCTGCCATTCACATGAAACAACAGACGGAAATACAGTTTTTTTATGAAAGTGAAATGTGCAAAATCCGAACGTGGAATGTTTTCAATTCAACATTAACTTTTAAAACAGAGACGACTCCTCCTGCATGGAGCTGCGTCTGTAAAAACTTCAGGAATATCTGACAGTCTGAGTCTGTCCCATTTCTGTGCTTTAATTTAAGTTTCACACATGTAAATTGTTACTGTAGAAAACTCTTCTATTGAACTATAAAAGAGTATAATCGCCTTCATCATCCATCGTGAGAGGTTCAAAAGTTTCTTCAGGAAAGTTTCTTTGCGTTTTCGCCGTTGACTTCCTGCGCAGACAGGAAGTCCATGATGAGGTTAGCAGCTTTCCTGGGACGCTCCAACGCCACAGAGTGACCACAGTTGTCCAGAACCTCCACCTGGCAGTTCGGGAGCGACGTCTTCAGCACTGCCGCCCCCGACACGTCCACCACCTGAGAATGAATCAATATATCAAATCCAGTTGTTTCTTTTTTTTCCTTGAACATTTTTTAGTATTTAAATGATTTAAATGATGTACCTGGTCTTCCTTCCCCCAGATGACCTGCACAGGTGTTGTGATCAGGTGTAAGTTTTCCTGCAGCGAGTGACGAGACTTCTCCCCGACAATCTCCATGAATACTGAACAACACACACACACACACACACACACACATAATAAATCAACAAAGTATACTGCAATCCACAGTTATTAAAGCAGTGACATGAACCAGAGAAACCAGGTGGCTGTATGCCTTTGACAAACCAGTCAAGTTGCAGTTTGTTTAGACTCACACTATATATATATATATATATATATATAAATAAATATATATGAATACTTGGAAAGAATTGAATAAAAAAGTATAAAGTGTATTTTTTTTGCTAAATGGAAGTTAACACTATATTGATGATTGTATGATTCCAGTGAATATACTTTACACATGTACTTGACGACTATGTAAAGATGTAGTCTTGTAGAATATTGTTTTCTCCTGGTATTGTCAGATGCGTGTGTAAAATGAAATATGGAAATTGCCCAATTCACTCATGAATAAATGAATAAAAACCTATTTTGACCTTTAACCAATTCATTGTCTGACCATTTGTAAAATAAGGTCCTCAGTTCTTGAGTCATGGTCACAGTGACCTTGAACTTTGACCTCTGACCACCAAATTCAAATCAGTTCATCCTTGAGTCCAAGTGGATGTTTGAGCCTCGAGTCGTTCCTGAAATATTGCCACAGCCAAACCCCAACTGGCATAAAATTACACTTTCCCAGAATTTAGAGTGTAATTCTCACAGCTGGTATTGAAATGGAAGAGTCTCAGATGACGGTTGTTCTATAATGTTTGTAATTGTGAATTCACTATAATGTCCATTTTCACAGCACTAATTAAATCGTAAACCGTACTCACCACTCTGCTCTGAGTTTATCTTCTCTGATTTCATTCACTAATTAATTAACTGAAATCACTTTTACTAAGATGCTGCCATACTTCCTTATTCTTCATTATTCTTTATTTTGGATCCGTATCACCTTTCAGAAAGTGGACACTAGTCTTCAGGGAAAGAGGTTAGAAATTAAAAGCCAACCAGAAAAGTGGAGGATTATTTAGTTTGAGCTGCTGAAAGGTTTTTTAATGTGAAACCAAGATTCACTGACAGCAACTAGAAAAAGCAGCACAATAGGAAAACAAATTAATTAGCAAAAGAAAACAGTATTAGTGCAGAGTGGTTGAGTTTGACTGTTCGACTGATTACATTAGTGCTGTGGAAATTTAATTATACTGAATTTATCAAGACAAGAAAGAGGAGGTGCTGAGTTTGTAATAACAGGAAAATTAAAACAGATCAGAAGACAAGAAGGCTTCAGGGAGCTGAATGAAGTGTTCACCCACTATCTGAGAACTTATGGTATATATTAATTAAAAGAATTAAGCTTCACCTTTAGATTATGGCTATATAATGCAACAGAGGAGGAGAGAAGAAGGAGGTCACAGTAAAGACTGACCTTCTTTATAGAAACCATTGTTGGGCATCCTGTTGGCAAGGAGACCTCGCAGGACCTGATAACACATACACTCGTGTCAATAGATATTCCCCAAACTCTCTTATTACAAACAATAATAAAGCGTTAAAAGTGTCTCAATCTGGATTGTAGTCGAGGTCGTGCTGCTCTGTACCTGCCGGGGGAGGTTGAGGGGGGTGTAGCAGCAGAGTTTCAGCATGTCCTCCAGCTCCTGATGGGTGGTGGGGATCAGAGGGATCGAGTCCTTCATCTCAGTCTTCTCCAACTCCCTCAGATGACTGATGAACTCAGAGTCTGTGGGATAAACCAGACCTGGGAGACAGAGGAGGAGGAGGATGAGACATTGTGCTTCATGAAACAGATCTCAGGTTTGAATCCTGGAGGGAAGCGTCTGCTGAGTTTACCTGCCGGGCAAATCAAGGTGGCGCTGCACAGGTCAGCAGGGTGATGAGCAGCGTAAACTCCAGCGACGTTCCCACCCATCGATGTCCCGACCAGGTGGAAGGGTCTTTTATTCAAACCGATACTCTTCACAAACTGCACAGAGAGACACAGATAGAGAGAGGTGTTAATTAAACGTCTGTCAGGAGAGTTTATCCATCAGCGTCTCCGGCTGTAGCAACGGTTGCCAGGTACAGTCGGTGAGCTTTTGGTCGTCGTCTCTGTACAAACACCAATATGAACAGCTCACAGGGATCAGTCGGACTGCAGGGCAAAGCTGAACAAAGGTGAACGTTGACCTCACTGATTACATGTTGAACCACAAACAAACAAACCATATCTCACAGTAATTCTTGACCTGGGTGACACACGTGATCGAGCACGGGGAACCACATTGAGGACAATGTCAAACTGACATGCTGGTTTTCCTTCGGGACGTTACAGTGCTGATATTACGTCGTCTGATCCTGGCTGTTAATCTGTATCACATTACACACTCGTACAGACCTGGTGGATTCGGGCGACCTGGCCCTGAATGCAGTAGTCCTCTGCCCCGGTGCGACTCGTCCCCTCGTGCCCTGGCATGTCCACACACACCACATGTTGGTTTCTGGGGAGATACTGGAGGAGAAAACAAACACACACACACAACTGAAATGAAAAGATGCTCCATACTCCTGTCTACTGTTGTGCCCACATCTTTACAGAGACCTGCTCCATCAACATCGACGAGAGGTAGCTCATACGCAGTCAAAGTGTCCTTTTATGTGAAGATGAAACCATATTATTGTTGTATAATTATAAATAAATGATCATTGATTCTTTGATTACTAATTCTGAGCAGGTTTTTACTTTACAGTGTCTCCCTCTGTTTTTCCTATCCTTCCTATCTAAACTGTGTCTGTGTCTGTATCTGTGCGTTACCTTGACGACAGGCAGCCACATGTCCTTTGTGGCAGAGAAGCCGTGCAGCAGCAGCAGTGACGGCGTGGCGCCCCCTGGCGTCCCGCGGCTGGAATAGCAGAAGCGGTAACTTCCACTGTGAGAGTAGCCGACCTCCAGCCCCAGCCTGCGACGCCAGTACCTGTGGAGGATTACAGCGGGACCATTAGGAGTTTATTATGTGCTTGTGTCATCTTGTTTTTTCTTTTGCAATCGTATAACGTGTTCAAGAATTATAAAGTCCTGCTAGCAACCCAGAGGACGCAGCGTTTATCACACGCCACAGAGCATGAAGTTATTGTTGTGTGTTAGGAGGTTGTAGCTGCTGTGCATTAAATTCAACTTCACATAAGGTTCTATAAAATATAAATGTTAATATGTTTGTAATTGTAACTGCATTTATTTAGTCGTAAACCAAAGATTTGGGACAATTTAAGTTTGACCTGATGATGACGCTAGATGAAAAGTGTCTGGACCAAAGTGGTGAAACAACCCTTTAGCTTCCATTGAGACACTAGAAAGGTTAGAAATACAATGTTTACAGTACAGTCATTGTTTTTGTTTTTTTTACCTAATTTAAATTCTAATCTTATTTAATGCTTCAATGTTTTGTAACATTTTATTCAATTCACAAAGCTGCTACAAAGAGACCATTATATGACAGTGACTCAGCACTCTGTGTGTGTGTGTGTGTGTGTGTGTGTGTAATAGCAGCGATAATCTGCGGCCAACATGCAAGTTTTTTTTTTTGTTTTTTTTACAGCTTATACAAAGTCCAGTAGGTAAGGTCACACTAACACTCCTTCACAATAAAAGTGTATGTTGGAGACACAGCAGCAGCAGCAGCCTGTAATACACAGCTGAAACATCCGTCACTCACAAAATGATCATTCAAAGAATTTAAAATACCCAATTTTCTGTTAAATTATATGTTTACAATAGCGGGATAATGTCATCTGGGAGTCTGTAGAGGTTATAGTTACTCTGCTGTCTGATAGGATGGTGTACTGTCTTTAACCTGGGTGGCACTAGTAGCACTCGAAATGAAGGATGTCCCTTTCTCTGAGTTAAAATAAATATATAAATATAAATATAGCGTCTAGGACACAAACATATAGTGTCTGGGAATATTAATACCGCCATATTAGAGTAAAAAACTAAAACTAAACTCAACTTTTATAACTGTATAAACAGTAAAAACTAAACTGAAACAGTCAAATCCACTCTGGAAACTAAACTGGACTGAAAACAAAACTGGTGTGCAGGCAGCCAGTTTCTGTGGTTCACATTTGACCTTCTCTCTCTCTCTCTCTC